CGAGCCACATGCAGCTCTTTGGCCCCTTTAGTGTGGCTCTTCCTAAGCCTTAGGAGTACCCTAATTAAGTTAATAACAATGTACCTACCTATATAGTTTAAGTTTAAAAAATTTGGCTCTCAATAGAAATTTCAATCGTTGTACTATTGATATTTGGCTCTGTTGACTAATGAGTTTGCCGACCACTGCTCTAACTGCTTTATTAAATTGGCTTTTCACAATGCACTGGAGGTCTCTTGTTTAAATTTATATGAGAAGATAAGGATCAAGGTGGGGACAATGAGCGATGCCTCTCACTTCGAAAGGGCCTACTGGCCCTGGCCGGGTGCTCAGTTGGTTAGAGCGTCATTCTGATACACCAAGGCTGTGGGTTCCATCCCAGTCAGGGCACATACAAGAATCAACCAATGAACGCATAAATAAGTGGAACAATAAACTGATGTTTCTCTCTCTCCTTTCCCCTCTCTCTAAAAATCAACATCAAGAAGCCATATTTAAAATCAATGAAAAAAGAAAAAGAAAAAAGTGCCCCACATTCTCTCACGTACGCCATCTTGATCTGAGGAAAAGACCTTGAACCCAGATGAACTTACCAATTTCCCAGCATCCTGTGTAGCCCTACCCAAGTGCCACCTGCACACTTCCTCTGACTGACATACCTCATGGACCCAGAATGTGCCTGACATGTGTCACGGTGGGAGGAACAAGACGGGTGTCGTCAGATGAGACAGCATTGGAAGGTTCTGTACTGCAGCCTCCAAAGTGAGCTGGCTTTCCCTGTCAGCACCTCTCTTCTGGACACTCTAAGCCCACTGTTTCAAGCATTGCATACAATCACTTAATGAATAAAGTTCTGAAACTGACTCCTTACCCATGCTCCCTATAATCTCCGGTTCATCTTCTTTTTCTGAAACTTCAGGTGTAGTCTCATCTTCTGTTTCTATTACAATTTCAAATTCTGGAAAAAGGAAGTTGTGATCTGGAACTGTATTGTCCACATTACCTGAAACAAAAAATGTAACTTGTACCACCAGTAATAACTTAGTTTTAAGAATGGTCTCACAGTATATTTCTAAAGTATATTCCAATACAGTAACAGCTTCTCCTAGTAAATTAATATATATAACTCCAACATTTTAGGTTGCAGACCATTAAATGCTGCTCCTATGAGACCTAACTAAGTGGGCAGAATCTCACAGCTCTTCCTACTGGGGATCAAGCTGCAACCCCAGGATGTGCCCTGACTGGGAATCCAAGGGAGACCTTTCCTGCACAAGACTAACTAAGCCACACTGGCCACGGCGCACAGCTCTTCATAAAGGTGGTGTCGCTACCAAACTTCTGATAAGTATCACAGCTTTTCTAATTTTAACTTTTCTGGGCAAAATAAAAATCTCAGTTGGTAGGTGCTATGAAGCTGAGCTGGAATTTAAACAGAAGATGGACTCACCTGCCTGTCTACACGCCTGCTTATGCCCGCATCTCCAGTCCACAGCCTGGTGGTCCTTACTGCAGTAATGCGCCTGGCGACAACGCGAGCACGTCTTGGGGCCTAAACAGCCGCACACCCTGCAGAGCTGAGCCCCGGACTGGAGCTGGAGGCGCACGGACGCTCCCGTCTCTGGGGGAGGATCCTCAGAAGGCGGCTCATGGGAGTAAAAGTCATTTTTCCTGGGTAGCTGATTTCTAAAAACTAAGAAAAATGAGAAGAAACATTGCATTTTAAATAAAACAGTATGTCAATTCAAATCATCTAGCTTCCATTCCACACAGGAATGAAAGACACTCATCTGTTAAAAAGACAGAAGGCCATTTTTGCTTTCGGTGAACTTATGTGATGAAAGAAGAGGGAGAAAAAGTGGAAAAGAACAAGAAAGTCTTCAGGTCTAGAAACTAATTTGGGGACCCCCGCCGAGCTGGCTCCGGTCAATCCAGTGACCATCGCGCCTAACAGACGGCGAAAATGCGGAAAAGCGGTTGGGACCCGGCTTTCTGAACCCCGACCATATTAAAGTCTGAACATGAGCCAGCGCACAGAGTACCCGTTCGATAGGAAAA